CCGCCCCAGCGCGCGTCGCCCGCGCCCGGCAGCTGCGCGGCGGCCGCAGCGGCCGCCGCGCAGCTGCCCGGCTTGCAGCCTCTCTGGTCGCCAGGACGCGTCGGGGCCGCGGCCGGCGGCGACGCGGTCCCGCAGCGCGGCGCTGACAGCCCGCGCGGCACCGCGGCGGCCATGGCCCGCAAGCAGCAGCCGCTCGGCCATCCGCCGCTGTCAATGCCGCCGCCGGCGCTGGCGCGGCCGCTCGGCGCCGCCGGCGGGGGCCGCCTCTGGAGCCCCGACGCCGCCCTGCCTGACGGCACCGCGGCCGCCGCGGGGGGCCGTCCGCCCCTTGGTGCGCATGCGGGTGCGCCCTGCGTGGCCGGCGGCGCCGCCTCGCCGCCGGGCGGCGCGGGGGCCGGGCTGCTGGGGTGCCTTGGGGCGATGAAAGCAGTCGCGTTTCCCGAGGATCTGGACGATGACGTCACCGCCTTTGCCCGCGGCCCCCTGATTACGACAGAGGTCGTCCCTGATTACTCGTCGGCCCCGCAGCCGCCGCCGGGCTCCGGCGGCGCCCGCGCGCCCGCGGCCGCGGCGGCGGGCGCCGGCCCCTCCCCAGTTCTGCCGGCGCTGCGGGCGGTGGCAGGCGGGGAGGAGGAGGGCTCGTTCTCGAATTGGATGGCGTTCGCATCTCAAATGGGCATGTTGGGCGGCGGCAGCAGCAGCGGTGGTGGCGACACTGTGGCAGTCAGCAGCTTGGGGCCAGACGGCGCGCAGTGCAGCTTGGGCCACCGGCCGCGCCGAGGTGACGGCGCCCCCCCGCCCTGGCCCCCAGCCGTGACCGGCAAGCAGGCGCCGCCAGCGCCGCGGCAGCCCGGCATGACGCGCCACAGCAGCATCTGCCTTGATGCGTGCGCGGGCGCCGCCGACCAGGGTCCGGCCCCAGCGGCGCCGCACGTGCCGCCCTCTGGCCCGGGGCCGCTCGCGGCCCCGGCCCCGCCGGCGCCGCTCGGGCCCGGCGCCGCGATCAGCCACGCGTTCGAGATGCCTTCCTTCTTTTGCCAAGCCTCCCCAAGCGCGGGCGCTGGCGGCGCGGAAGCCGGGGGGGCGGCGCCTCGGCTGCCCGCGCGGCCGGCTACTGCAGAGCCCATCCACGGCCACAGGCAGTGGGTCCCGTGACCCGGGCCTGCAAACAGATTAGACAGTCGCAGCGCCAGGCCCGGCGGCCGCAGCGGCCGCCACAGACCAGGAGTTGCGGCGGGCGGGCCGAGCGCCCGGCGCCGGCACGCGCACACGCGTGTCGGTGCCGGCAGCGGCGCAGGTCGGCGCCGGCCACGGCTCGCATGCCACGTGTGCCCTGCGCCGGCAGGGTCGTCGGTGCGGGCGAGCTTCGGGGCACACGCGCGGCCGCCAGGGCCGGGCCGCGACCCGCCAGCGCCGGCGGTCGCCAACGCCTCGAAGCCGGCCCGGCCCGCCCCTTGGCGCCGCCGTTCCTGTCGGTGCGCGCGCGGCAGTCCTCACAGCCCACGCGTTGTGCGCGTAACCGGGGCGGACCGCGCGCAGTTTCAGACGGCCCTGACGCCACCCCGACGGCGCCGCGCCCGGCGGCCAGCCCCAGCCAACGACCCTGTATAGGCAGCAAACCCCCACGCAGGCTCATTAGCGATCACTCTCGGAGACATGCACGCCCCTAGAACCGCCCCTCCCTGAGCACGCACGCACACGCGCATAGGCACACGCGGCTTTCGTCCGGCGTAGGCATCACCCGTTTTTTCCTTATCCATCATCTGTCCAGCCGCCGCGGGCGGGCGATCGGCCTTGGCCGCGCCCTCTCGCGCGCGCGGCGCACCATCTAGGCGCACACACGCACGCACGCGCCGGGGCGGTGAGGAGGCGGGCCGGCAGCGGCAACCCCCGCACTCGCCGCCCCGCCCCCGCCCCGCTCGGCCTCGCCCCTGCGGCGGCGTGCGGCGCACACTGACGAACAGGCACGCACCGCTCCGCGCGATCTGACCGCAGACCTTAGCTCCGACCCCCAGCCGAGCCTGCACCAATTCATGCCCGCCCGCCACATGCCGGGACACCTGGGCTGGAGTTGCGGCTGAAGTGCCACCCCGAGCATGCACCGTTTCGTTCCTCTGTTACGTGTCGGCCCCGCCCCTCCCGTGCGGCGGCGCGAATGATACCCGGCCGCCCGCACGCCGCGGCCGGCCCGCCGTGCGCACGCGCACGCGCCGCGGGGCGCTGCTGTGGCGGCCGTCGCCCCGGCGTTCCCACAACTATTCCCAGTGCCGCGAGCGGCTGCTGCTGCTATGTGCGGTGGCAGCGACGGCCTGCGCCGCGTGCGAAAGCCGGGAAAGACGCCGCGCAGGCACGGGTGCGCCCACGTGATTCAGACAGGTGCATCAGGGCGCGGGGGGGGGGTACCATCCTCTCTCCGCGCAGCCCTCCCGCGCGCCGTCGTCGCGGCCGCCGGGCTCGCACGCGTCACTCTGTTGGGCTGCAGCGCTGCGCCGCATCCCGTTGTTGTTTCGCCTCTGGGTGTGCTTCGTCCCCGTGAGGGGCCGCCTGATCAGTGTCTACAGATTGGAATGAAACGCACCCCCATCACATAGCATCTGCACCACCCGCGGACCAAGCCGAAACGCGGCTGCCACCCCGCCCGCACAGCGTGTGCGCGGCTTTTCGGCCCCTCTCGGCCGACCCTCTGCGCCGCCGCCCGCCTGCTTACACGCATGGCGCGCACTCTGCGCCGGCGGGGCGGGTGGGCGGCGGCGCGCCCGCGCGCGCGCTCATATCTCCTCCCTGGGCGTGCCGGAGTAGGCAGGCGGGCCGTGGAACGTGCAGACGCTGCTAATGCTGCCCCTCTGGCGAACCGATTTGAACCGACTGACCGCCCAAGAGGGAACCAGACGCGTGCCCAAACCCCCCGCCGCACCCCGCCCGCCAGCCATTCACGTTGCGCTACGCTTTCGGGCCCCCTCCGACCCTAGCCCCCAGCCTTTGCGGGGCCGTGCCCACGACGGTCCCCGCGCGCGTGCGCGCGTGCATGGAATGCCGTGCCGTCGGCGTCGCTGCCCTGCGGCACAGCATACTGGCTTGTAACGCACGAGAGTTGGGGCGTTTGCATTGGGCGGTACACCGGGCGCGTGCTCCCAAGGGCGGCTTTGTTCGGGCGGCGAGGGGGTGTGCCAGCGGGGGACCATGCAGGCAAGTAGGTGCGCGCGCACACAGCAAGGATCCACCCCTCTGACCCCTTTGAAAGGCTGCAATCAAAGGGCAGCGGTCAGACAGAAAACGAAGACAGGCAGCCGTCGCAGCTGCAGCGATACACGTGGCATGTTTTTGCGCCAAAATGGAGCCTCATGTTGGAGGCGGGCCACCCCTCCCGAAAGGAATGCGGGCTGCATTGCCGCCGCTGCTGCTGCCGCTGCTGGTTGCACGACAGCGTGCGGCCCTTGAACTAATCGTCGGCGAGCCGCTGCCGCTGCTGCTGCTCCGGGTGTGCAGGGGCGAGACTGGGACACTCAAGGCAAAGCAGCACAAGCCGCTGGGTGGGTCAATCAGTGAATGGCACTTGTTGATGCAGAATAAAAGGAACAGATCATGCGGCCAGTCACAGGGTGCAAGGTGAATCACCAGCCGGGGCGCGGGTCACAGCGGCGACGCCACGCGGAACCGGAGCACTCGCATCCGCGCCAGCTGGCGCGTCACCGCGCCCTCGTCCCCCACCGCCGCCACCAGCGCCGCCCGGCCCGGCACGTTGCCCTCGCACTCGACCGCCGCCCTCGCGGCGAGCGTCCCCTCCGCCAGCGCGCGCCCCGGCGCCGCGCCGCGCGCGAGCGCGGCGGCGAAGCCGGCGGCGAGGCAGTCGCCGGCGCCGCTGACGCTGCGGACGTGCGCGGGCGCGGCCGGGATGTGCCGCGCGACGACCTCCGCGCCGCCGCCGCCGCCGCTGCCGCCGCCGATGCTGCGTTCCAAGGTCAGTAGCGCCGCCCCGGCCTCTCCCAGTGTGAGCACCACCGCCCCGAGCCCCGACGCCAGCAGCGGCGCCGCGGCGGGCGCGATGTCCGCGAGCTGCCGCGCCGCCGCCGCTGCAGCGTCAGCACCTCCGCCGCCCGACGCGCCGGCCGGCGGCCCGCGGTGCTGCTCTTCCCGCTGCTGCCGCTGCTGTTGCTGCGGCTGCGCCTGATGCCGGCCGCCGCCGCGCCGCGCGTGCTCTGCGGCAATCGCGCGGAGCTCATCAGCGTTTGGTGTTATGTAAGCCAGCTGGTGCAAAACGTCCACGCACCTGGGCAGGGGAATAAGTAAAGGTAACGGGGGGCAGCCCGGGCAAATCAGGCAGCGCGCTCGCGTGCGGGGCACCGACGAGGCAACGGCGGTGGTTGCAGGTAGGGGCATGCGTGCGGAGCGGCCGCAGGCGGTGGGCAACGGGCTTGCGGGGGGCGGGTCAGGGGGCAGAGGCAGAAATACCACCTGCGGGGTCCTTGGCATCCGCAAGGCGGAAGAACTTGAGCTTAGAAAAGCACAGCGCAGCGCAGCGCAGCACATGGCAGCGCAGCAAAGCACACAGCAAAGAGGGCAACACGACAGACAGCACACAACCGCCCACCGCGGCGCCTTGGGGACCGAGATCGGCTCGAACAGCACGGGCACCCCCGCC